AAAAGTTAAAAATATTGGATTATAAAAATGAAAATAAAAATTAGAAAAGAATCATAAAAAATATTAATATAATAATATTAATAAAAAATGAAAAAAAATATATATATATATATAAAACAATGTAAAAATAAATAAAAAATATTAAAATTAGGAGAAAATGAAACATATATATAAAGTAAATAAATAAAAAATGAAATAAAAAAGAATAAGTCAAAAGTTGTTACATCTCCCATGTTTTACGTGTAGAGAAATTGGATTTGCAATGAAAATGCTCTGCCACTCCTCGTGCTTTTAGATACTGGCTTTGGATCCTCCACGCTTATTTTTTGTCCTTTTCTTCCCTCAGTTTTTCCAAATCGTTGCCCCTTCCTCTGATTTTGGTTCCACATTTTTCTATGTCATTTCCTCTTGATGCATGAGTCTATTTATAGTCTAAAGAAACCTATTTTTAGCTCAGATTTAGAGTCCTACTTAGACTCAAAATGCTTCAGTTTTAGTGTTTCAATAGGACTCAAATATGTTGGTTCTAGTATTTCAATAGGACTCAAATACGTTAATATATTTTCTGAATCTCACTAAATCGAGGTTGTTGAGGGCGGGGCCTGCAAAAATAATAAAAAAATAATATATTAATAATAATAATAATAATAAATAAATAATATGATAAAATGTTTTTGTAGACCCGGACAAAAAACGGGTGTCTACAGCTACCCCTCTTTGCACATTTTTGTGTTAACAAGAATAGGGCAAAGATGAAAAAGACAACCAGTTTTTTCCGGTTCTCTTTGATTTGAGAATTGATAGTGTTTGTTGTGACACTAAGTCTATCCATTGGGCACGATATCCTTCTTCTTGAAGTTTAAATCGTGGGAATCGAAAAGTAACTTTTTGTTGTCAATCTTGGTCGACATTGGTCTTCTTCTCGATTTAGAGACATGGGTGTAAAAATTTGACTGGAAAGTAATTCCTTGTTGATGCAACGCGGTTGATACGCCCTCAAGCTGAATGTAATCAAACTCGAAGGTCTTTGACAGATAGCCCTTCTTGCCTTGAGCTATGCTACAAATGATGGTGCCTTTGAGCTGAGTGGAGTCAAACTCGAAGGTCTTTGTTGACAGATAACCCTTCTAGCCTTGATTTATGCCATAAATGATGTGCCCTCAAAGTTGAGTGTAATCGAACTCGAGGGTCTTTGGCAGATAGCCCTTCTTGACTTAAGCTATGCTGCAAATGATGTGCCTTGGAGCTGAGCGTAGTCGAACTCGAAGGTCTTTGGTTGATAGATAACCCTTCTCGACTTAAGTTATGCTGTAAACGATATGCCTTGGAGCTGGGTGTAGTCGAACTCAAAAGTCTTTTAGTCACAGATAACCCTTCTAGCCTTGAGTTATGCTGTAAATGATGTGCCCTCGAAGCTGAGTGTAATCGAACTAGAGGGTCTTTGGTAGATAACCCTTCTCGACTTAAGCTATGTTGCAAATGATGTGCCTTGGAGCTGAGCGTATTCGAACTCGAAGGTCTTTGGTTGGCAGATAACCCTTCTCAACTTAAGTTACGCTGCTAAATATATGCCTTGGAGCTTAGCGTAGTCGAACTCGAAGGTCTTTTAGTCACATATAACCCCTTTAGCCTTGAGTTATGTTGTAAATGATGTGCCCTCGAAGCTGAGTGTAATCGAACTCGAGGGTCTTCAGTTGGAATATAACCCTTCTTGACTTAAGTTATGCTATAAATGATGTGCCTTGGAGCTGAGCGTAGTCGAACTCGAAGGCCTTTGGTGGGCACGATTCCCTTCGTCATGAAGTTTAAACTATGGATGGCCCCTTCATTGTGAAGTTGAGCCTCGAATTGGATATCCTTCATCGTGAAGTTGAAATCCAAATCTTTATTCTGTTTCGATGCCAAGATCCTTCGCCGTGAAGTTGAAATTGACTCTGAAACTGGAAAGTTATTTGTTGACTGTCAGCCGCCCTTCGTTGTGAAGTTGAGCTTGTGTTGTCTCGAGTCCAATATCCTTCGCTGTGAAGTTGAAATTGACTCTGAATGAAACTGAAAAGTTGTTTGTTGACAGTCAGTCGCCCCTTCGCTGTGAAGTTGAGCTTGTGTTGTCTCGAGTCCAATATTCTTCGCTATGAAGTTGAAATTTACTCTGAATGAAACTGAAAAGTTATTTGTTGACAGTCAGTTGCACCTTCACTGTGAAGTTGAGCTTTTGTTGTCTTGACTCCATTATCCTTCGGTGTGAAATTGAAATTGACTCTGAATGAAACTGAAAAGTTGTTTGTTGACAGTCAGCCACCTCTTCGCTGTGAAGTTGAGCTTGTGTTGTCTCGAGTCCAATATACTTCGTTGTGAAGTTGAAATTGACTCTGAATGAAACTGAAAAGTTGTTTGTTGACAGTCAGTCGCCCCTTCGATGTGAAGTTGAGCTTGTGTTGTCTCGAGTCCAATATCCCTCGCTGTGAAGTTGAAATTGACTCTGAATGAAACTAAAAAGTTGTTTATTGACCGTCAGTCGCCCCTTCGCTTTGAAGTTAAGCAACCACCATCAATTTCTGAATGCACTTTTTGAATTGATTATCTTTCATCTTGAAGTTGAAATTTGACTCTAAAAGCTGTAAAAAAAGTGTGCTAAAAATGATAAATGTGATGCTCTTAAGTGTGTCTAAGATGCATTCAACATGAATTAACTTTGTTTTATCTCTTGGATGGAGCCTCATTTTTGTATGCTGGTCTTGTCGTTGGAATCGACCATGCCCCATTTCAAGCTTTGGCTTTACAGACCTTTCATATTTGAGACTGTCCTGTTTGAAAATGTTTTTCTCCTTTTTCTTGTTTTCGGAGGGAAAAGGATAAAAATTCTGTAAAATATTGTTCGCAATTGAATCAAATTATAAACATGAGTTCAAAGTATATCAAAGGAATCAATAGCTCTTTTAATGCTTTCAAAGTTACAGCTCTTTGACAAATGTTCAAATGGATGAGTTGGCTTTAGGTTGACCTAAGGTTTCAGCCATGAAAAGGTTATTTTTTTTGTTATTGCAACGTGCTTTTTTTTTGTTTGGCATTTTAATTGGGTGCGGACAAAATGACGCAACTAGCATGATCAATTACTAGACCTTTTATTTCGGTCCTCTGAAATTTTCCATTTGTTCAAGCCTCGTAAGCTCCTCTAACAAATGTAGTGCATAAATATCGGTCTAAAAATGAAATTCCTGAGTGCTCGTGTGAAGTTAACTATAATATGTGTTCCTTAACTCCCTTAGTCCATCATTACCAAAAATTTCTTGCTTAGATAAATTTGATTTAATTTGTCGTTATCTGGCTAGCTGAATCCATAAAGCCGGGGCGTTTAACCAATTGCTTTAGAGGGACAACTTAACATTATAATCAGTTTTATCAAGTTAACTGAAGGGTTCATCTCATCACAAAGTCTTCGGCCGGACAATAGCAGTAGAGCAAACACCGAATTGCTAAGTGTTCGAACAATGTCATGGTTTAAACGTAGTCTACTCATAAGGGCAGGGCTTTCAAGTTTCCTCTATAACCAATTGCCTTAGTGGAATAGCTCATCTTTACGGATTTAATTTCTTAAGTTTGTCAAGAATAACCTGTTATAGTCTAGGTGTTTTTGAAAATCAAGGAATCTCATATTTAGAGTTCAATTTCCAAGCAACTGACCTAAACTAGATTTATCTACTCGACTATTTCATCTGTGAAGATCAGGATCATCACTGAACGTCTTAAATAAAAAGCATAGTAATTTCATATGCAAAACAATGCCTCATGTTGTCTGCACCTTCTGAAAAGAAAATGTTATATTGGTTAATTGCAAGAGCAGGGTACGGTGTTTAGGGTATATTCTGGGTAAGGTCAAGGTCCTTGTTTTTATCGGCTTTTAATCGTGTTACTTTGTCAAAGATCTGTAACTCTGAATCATTTGCAGAGTTTTTTAATTCAGATGATATTCAAAGAATTTTTGCAAAAGTGATTCATTGCTCAACGTCTTTAAAGTAACATAAATTTATTTGAAAGTCCTTACAAAAACTTGAGAAAAAAATGAAAAACAAATTCAAACAGAATGCCTCAAATGATGAAATGATCTTCCTCACTTGGATGCCCCCAAGTTGTTGAAGTCGATCTAGTTCTGGTTATGCATCTTTTGCACGACTCTCTTGAATGCGTAAAAATTCTCAAGTGTGTGCCATGGGACACCGCTGTGATATTCACAATGAGCATTCTCGTCATACCACTTGGGGTATGGGGACTTCATTGTTTCCACCAGGTATGGTGACACTACATGGGCGTCAATAAGTTGCTGGTAAATCTCTTTGTAGGTCCTGGGAATAGAATCAAAATGTTCCCATTTATTATGAGACATGTGAATGTAATAAAAAAATAATAATGCGAAATATGCAGGAATGCATTATGCAAGCAATGTTCGAGGCATTGATCAAAAAATATGTCTTTTATTAGAAATAATCCTTATTGGAGGCAAAATTGTTTTATCTTTTAAGAGACAAAAATATCCTGACAGCTTCTGACAAGTTGACTAGTCTTCTGCCTTCGTCTCTCACCGGTTGAATAATCTGTCGAACCGCTCTGGCTTCTTTGGATGAACCGTGCAAATGTTGAGTTGCTTTTTGTACTAGCCTAAGAAGTCTCGAATGACTGCATCTCTGGCATTTATCTTTTTTGAACATGTTCCCAATGAATACATCATTGGAGCCCTCAATTGATAAGAACTATGTGAAGTTCATTTTTCTATTTCTTGAATTCGTCAGCAAGGGTCTCCAATTTCAGCTATCGTTTTTCCATTTTTGTATTTGAAGAGACTCCCTTCATCTTGCCCCTGCAACCTCTACTAGTCAGTTCTTCAAAGATAGACTTTCATTGTGCTTGATGTAGACCCGGTTCATTCTGAGTACTTTATAATGCAGCAGAGTGATACACTCTTCAATTGTGGGCACCACGTCTTCTGGATTGAATGCGACACATAGTTTCCTTGTAGATTGTCCTCTATATTTTCATCTCTTGCATTACAACCCCTTTGTCCATTAATACAGATTATTCATGTTTAAATAACACATTTTTTGTGGATCAACACCTCTTTTAAATGATGCAAGTGATGAAAATAAAATAAAAGAAAAGAAAAGAGATAGTGAGGTGAAAATAATCAAAAATAATCATGAAAAATAAAAGTCCTACCCCACATGATGTTTACCCCACATGCTTTAATTCTTACCCAGTCATGATCTCTATCTCGCATGCTAATTTCAAACAAATCCTAACCGCATATTTGTCTAGTTCGCATGCTTTGAACAGAAAGTAAGGTAGGAAACAAAGCAGCCTAGGGTTTGGAATGAGGTTTTGGGGTGGGTTCTAATTCCCTATACTCTCCCGGTTTAGGTTCTAAAAAAGGTAATCGAGTTCTCCTTGCTGGTGCCCCCTTGGGCTTGCCAGACCCTTAGTCCTAAGCCCATCACAAGCTTATGTGGACTAAGTTAAACTCGAGATGATACATTCCCTTATGCCCATACGGAGAATAAATTCACACGAAGACATAAGGTATATGAATCCCGAAGGTTACTTGCTAGGCCCATACGGAGAATAAATTCCCATGAAGGCGTCACTTTCGCCCCCACTTAAAAGGGTTCGGAGCTCGGGTATAGAGCTAGAGATGACAATTTTGAAAAATATCTGAAATCATTAAAAAACGTTAGTACAACAACTTATTTGAAAAAATAATCCAAGATAAATAATAAGAATCGAATAAATAAATTAAAATTTAAACTTGTAGTTTTCGCTAAAAAAGACAACCAGAAATTAATTTCGGCCTGACTCACTTACTTATCCCCAGCGGAGTCGCCAAGCTGTCGGAACCGTCTTTCGGTTGGGCCCCGAATTGGGCTTCGACTTGGATTAAATGAATTGGAGTCACCACCGACCATTTAAAACGAATTTAGGTAGGCCGGACACCATCTTACCTGATCTGCGTTGTACCAGAAACATGTCGGGTTCAAGAGTCGGTTACGGTCAATGAAGGATTAGCACCCTTGAACCGTCCTTTCAGTACCAATTAATTCATCGGTTGTTTTAATCGCGAAAATCAAAATTTAAATTGAAATTTAAAAATTCAATTTGACTTAATTATCTTTGATCGATTGAAAGTATCCTTAAAATGTCAAAAGTGTTGGATTGTAAAAATGAAAATAAACATGAGAAAATAATCATAAAAAATATTAATTTAATAATATTAATAAAAAATGAAAAAATTAAAAACAATATATATATATATAAACAATGTAAAAATAAATAAATAAAAATATTAAAATTAGGAGAAAATGAAAAATATATATAAAGTAAATAAATAAAAAATGAAATAAAAAGAATAAGTCAAAAGTTGTTACATCTCCCATGTTTTACGTGTAGATAAACTGGATTTGCAATGAAAATGCTCTGCCACTCCTCGTGCTTTTAAATATTGGCTTTGGATCCTCCACGCTTATTTTTTGTCCGTTTCTTCCTCAGTTTTTCCAAATCGTTGTCCCTTCCTCTGATTTTGGTTCCACGTTTTTCTCTATCCTTTCCTCTTGATGCATGAGTCCATTTATAGTCTAAAGAAACCTATTTTTAGCTCAGATTTAGAGTCCTACTTTGACTTAAAATGCTTCGGTTTTAGATTTCCAATAGGACTCAAATACGTTGGTTTTAGTGTTTCAATAGGACTCAAATACGTTGGTTTATTTTTTGAATCTCACTAAATCGAGGTTGCTAAGTGCGAGGCCTACAAAAATAATAAAATAAAAATATTAATAATAATAAAAATATATATATATATAAATATATATATAATAAAATATTTTTGTAGACCCGAGTAAAAACGGGTGTCTACAACAATATTTCGAGTCATACAAAATCCGGGAGGAACAAATCCCATCTCTTCAAGCTATGTTAGAAATAGATTTTAGATATCTTCATATCCTACGAGAGCAGAAATTTGATACACTTTTTGAACTCGAACCAATAGTTTATCATCAAATTGTTCGAATCTTCTATTCCAATGCCATTTGTGTCCAAAACCGGGATAAAACCGCAACCTTAGGAATTAGATCCTATCTTCTAGGAAAATTCATCTATATTGACCCGAAATACATAGCTAGTGCATTTGGACTAGATAATGTCGGCTTAGACAATGAAAAACAAACGGTAGGTACTCCTTATAGAAGAAAGAAGAGTGTGAGTGTATTAGATCTCCATGATTGTTTCCTTTATCTGATGATCTCTTGGTGGTTTCGACCATCCGGAGGGAAATACTCCACTCTTAGAGACCTAGATCTTTGGTGGATACATTGTATCCAAAACAATAATAAAATAAACCTACCTCAGATTATCTTTGTTGAAATTGTTGAAATTGTAAACCTTGCTCCTAATAAGAAACTCTGTTCATCTCTAGTTTACGGTTATATTCTAAGTAATCTGTTTGCCAAAGCCGAGCTTAGGGTAAGCCTTGATGCCGTAATCCCTCTCAAAAATCAAATTTACCTCATTTCCTTAACAAAATCGGGATGGATAAAGGATAAGCAAACCGGGCAATGGGTTCGATCTGCTGAGCATACACCGGGAGCTAGTTCTTCAAGAGCTCTACCATCACCGGGAGCGGACAATGATCCCGAACTTCAACATCTGATGCAGGACATTGACGAAGTTCCCGACGATGAGCAGGAGCAACACGAGGAACAAGAATAACAAGATGATCAAATGCCTCCATATTTTCGATTTTTATGGAGACATTTGACTTCCGGTATGCATCAATGGATTCACGGTTTACATCTATGGAGTCCCATTTATCTGCTATGTAGACTTAACAATTGGAGAATCAACAAGAGATTCGATCTAATCGTGAAGAAATGAATACTCGATTCAATGCTATAGACGATGGACTAGATGCACTTACACGAGATGCGGCCAATATATGAACACGTCTATCTCCTCTCGATCCTCCAATTGAGTAGACCTTGCCTAGTTTCGATTTTACTTTAGATTTAGGACTTTGACTTAATAAACATTTTGATATGTTTGGATTGAATGTTTGGTTTAAGTTTATGCATCATTTACATCATTTTAGATATATGACCAAATTTTCCATTTCACATTCATTTATGAATATTGAATTATGAAACTAATGGCTAACATTTCTCTTGATTGTGATCTTAGCAGCTTACACTTTATTATTCTATCAATTGACTTAACTTCCAAAACCCTTGCTTAAAAAAAGTTTTAGAATCTTTTTGATTTAACAAAAAGGGGGAAAAGTGTTAAGAGTAAGGGGGAGTAATTTATTTTCAAAGTATAAGAGGGAGTAATTTTTCAAAACTTGATTTCAAAAATGTTTTTCAATTAGAAAATCTTAAAATTACTAAAATGTTTTGTTATATCAAAAAGGGAGAGATTGTTGAAAAATTTTGATGTTTCGATATAACAAACTAAATGTTATTGGATTCCAAGTTTTTCAAATGTCAAATTCAATTCTTACTCAAGTGTAAAAGTGTGTTTTAATCTTTTAAACAATTTTACAAAGTATTTCGAGCCTTTAATCGAGCTAAAAATAGTGTCTTAATAAATCTTAAACTGAAAAACCAGATTGCCCAGAGGGTACCGATAGGGTACCGATACCCCCATGTAAGATTTCGCTCCGAGAAATAACATATTGCTCGGAGGGTACCGATACCCCCCAGGTGGTATCGATACCCCCATCTCATAATGGTCAAAATATTTGAATTTTACACAGCAGAGTATCGATACCCTATGCAGGGGTACCGATACCCCCCAACTCTCGAAGTTGTTTTATTAATTATTTTCACACAATAACGGCTCTATTAACTCCACTAATGATCCCCAACGTTCAGAAATGATCCAAGGAGTATTTAAACAAGCTTAGAAGCCATTGATCAACAACAATCATCAATAATCAAGAGAGAATCAAAGAGAAAGAATCAAACATCAAGTTTGAGCACTTTTCAAGCCTATTCCATTCAATATTCATTTTTGCTTTCAAGAACACATATTGTGCTCAATTGTATTATTCTTGAGTGTTCTTTCTTTGTTCTATAATTTTGAAAACATCTTTCCTTGTGAGGATTTTCTTGTAAGTTTGCAAAATTTGTATTGTTCTCTTTGGGAGAGAGTGTTCTCAAGAATTTGGGGTATAATTCTTGAGGGATTTGTAAGGTTACTCTTTGTCCTCAAAAGAAAGACATATTAGTGAATTTGTGGAAAATCCTTAGTGTGGATAGCTAAGGTAGTTGACGTAGACTTTGGTTGAGAAAGTTGAACCACTCTAAATCATTGTGCAAATATTTTCAAATTTTTGCAAAAGCTTCCACCTAAATTTTTATTGTCAATTCACCCCCCCCCTCTTGGTCTATTTCGTCGATCGATTAACTCAACAAGTTTTCAATAGGGAGATAACACACTTGAACTTACCCTCAAGGGTAAGATGTAACTAAAAAAATGTGTAGAAAGTCTCTCAAAGCCATTAGTCAATGGCGATGGGGTCGTCGACTCAGAACCAAAGAATTTTATAGTATTGTACTGGCGAAGCCTCTCAATCGAAGACTCTTATGGTGATACAGCAAGTAGAGCTAGCGGTGCGGACGGGAAGAGTGGGGCAGTTGATGCTCTAGGAATAGTGTGAACAATATGCCTAAGTTTTTAAGATCATATCTCTAAATAAGGTTGCCTTCAAGACCCCCGCATCTCTTTCAAAATCTAGGAAAAAATCATCATCGATGTCATCAGTCAATAAGACGCGACTCTTGTCTCGACCCTTATGGCTAGGTACAGAATTGTTAAGCATAGTTTTCTGAAATTAAAGAAAACAAATTGAGGTTATTATCATTAATTCTTTATATTTAATTACTCTTGACACTCTAAAGGCATGTACTCATTAACAGTTATTGATTCTAACCCGTATGTCTTAGGAAATACTAAATCTGATGCTCTAATACCACT